GTTACCCGAGATAGTTACCCAGGGCTAATTGTCCTTACCCAAACTAGTTACCCGCGCTAGTTACCCAGGGTTAATTGTCCTTACCCGAACTAGTTACCTGAGATAGTTACCCAGGGTTATTTGTCCTCATCCAAACTAGTTTGGGTAAGGACTGACCCGAACTAGTTACCCGAGATAGTTACCCATGGTTAATTCTCCTTACCCGAATTAGTTACCATTGCTTGTTACCCAGGAATATTTGTCCTTACTCGAGCTAGTTACCCAAGGTTGTTTGTCCTTACCCTAATTAGTTACTCGAGATGGTTACCCAGGGTTAATTGTCCTTACCCGAACAAGTTACCCAAGCTAATTACCCAGGGTTATTTGTCCTTACCCAAACTAGTTCGGGAAAGGACTGACTCGAACTAGTTAACCCGGGTTATTTGTACTTTACCCGAATCATTTACCCGAGCTAATTATTCCGCATTCCCAGCTTTGCACTTCCCCCCCCCCCTGTGATCCCTTTTGCTTATGCCGGGCTCGAGAAAGACCAATAACAATTCAATGAAAAAAACAATAGATAATTCAAGAAAAAAATCAAACACATTTTCAATAAATAATTCAGAAAAATAGTTCAAAAAAATAATTCAATAAATAATTCAATAAATGAGTCGATAAATGAATCAAGCAGCATTAATTGCTCCCTTGTTCCCCTAGTTTTGCCTTGGGCACTGGGCCCATATTAACATATTTAATAGGGGGGGAAAGAAAAGGTTAAGAGTAAATGAGGTCGAAAAAAAATATAGATTGATAGATAGATAGATTATAAAAAAAAAAAACATAAATAAATAAACAGCAAAGACATTACTCACACATAGGTTCTGATATTCGGTTGGACCGTTTTGTGATCTTCAATCATGTCGCCAAGCACGTCGATGGTCTCCTGCAAACTGGAAAAATGCATAATACCAACAAAAGCAGCTTTCGTCTGTCGGTCAACATTTTTCAGGTGATTTCTCGTTAATTTATTTAAAAATAAAATAAAAAATGAAGACACAATCTATAGCCATCGAACCCAGCAAAAGGGTTCCACCAATGTCTTCCCCCACACACTCGGCATAAACGCATTAATGAATGTGGTCCGGTATGAGAGCATAAACCAGAAGCACACGTGAGTGATATCAGACTTGCTTCCATTCACACTTCGCATGCATGTAAACAGGAATACAGCAGACAGGCGACAAGCGCCCACTCAAAACGCAGACATATGGTAGCTCGGAACACAGTAAGATACAAGCTCGCTTCAATGGCTATGGCGCATCAGCGCCCGTACAACTCTCTGTTCGTCACTCGCCCAACTCCACTCTTGACACGCACACACTTAGGATCACCCTGGATATCCCACACGCATCACACTGTACACACACGCACACATATACACGCTACACTCTATCTACAGCAACTCCATGCCGAAACAAGGCAAAAGGGCTCATTGTACGTATGCCTTCGTGCGTGAACATAACCGGAACTTCGACCGGGTTCGTGCATCTAAAAGGTGAGTGCGCGCACGTACGCCTGTGTGCATCCGCACGGGGCTCGTCTTTGATAACGCGCGACTGCACCGACCCGCGCGCGGAAACTTCAGTGAGCTTCCCTACACTAGCGCACCCTCTCCACGCTTACGCACACTTGTCTACACTCGCCATCTGTTCTCCCCTTCGCTCGCGCGCGCGCTTAGGAGCTCCATCTGCTGCTCCCCCATCGTTCGCACGTCAGCCCGCCTATGTATATCGCACGTGTTTGGATTCTGCCCGTTCCGGTTGGAAGCCCCTCCTGGCGTCCCTGTACCAAGCCCTTCTCTTGGGCCAGGTGTGCGTGGCAGAGCCGCCTGCACACCTCTCTGTGCCCTCTTGCACCTGTTCGCTGGTGGGTAAGCAGCAACAGGTACATTGGCAACGCCCCAGATCTAGGCTGGTGCGCTTAGGCACCGACACACTCCCGTGCGTTCGTGAGCTAGCCCCCCTGCGGGCTAGCCAGTGCGTCAGTTCCTACCGTGCGCAAGCCGGAAGTCCCCCCCAATACGGGCCCAATTGGGCCCATATAGTTTGCTGGGCCCAGCCTCACGAGGCTCCTGCAGTCCGGAGGTCTGCCGAAGTTGGGAACTTCGCAGCGCCCCGGTACCAGGCCTGCCTCCCGAACCTAGCTCCGGGCCTGTTTGCGCCCGGAAAGGGCATAGGGAGTACCAAGTGACCCTTTTTGTCGGTTACCACGGATTTGAAGCGCCCTAGTACCAAGCCTGCCTCCCGAGCCTAGTTCCGGGCCTGTTTGGGTCCTGAACGGTCACATGCCAATCGGAAAGGGCCCAACTGTCGGGAATTTTGGAGGCCCGGCTTTTCCGAGGCCTTCTTTTGGCTGTAGGACCCGGCGTTCTTTCTTCAGTGTCAACTCACGCCCCAAATGCTAGGGCCTCGTTAGAGTCGGTTTAGTGATTACTTCCGTTTTCGGTCCCGCGGCGACTCCCCATTGCCATCGGCGCTCTAGTTCCTCAAATGCCCGCCGCAAGAGCCGGATGCTCCTTCTCGTTTCACATGTTGCCAAAGCTCGAGTACGAGTCCAAATCCCCTGTCCCCGACGTTCGGCTGAGGCCTCTGGCTTCCCTCCTGATGTCATGGCATCTCGATGCTTCCCTGATAATAAAAATCCTTAGTGCCCTTTGAAAGAGACCCACTCAGAATCAGTGAACCGCATTTTCTCAGCTCCCCGGCCCTGATGTTGTCCGCACAGGCCTGCCGTCGAAGATTCTTATGGACGACAGTGGCCAAATCTGTTGTAGTGACCGAATCCGGTTCCTGCCAAGTGCCCCCCTCAAGGAAGTAAAGGCCGGCGTAAGGCTGGAGCCACCCGACAACGGTTCCGTGTCAGGAGATTGGTACGGAGACTGGTACGCGTTGGACAGCTGCAATCCTTTTTTTTTTTGTTTTATTTATCCATCTTAAAGTCCTATATAGATCATGGCGCACTTCCGGCGAGAATGTGATCACACTGCCCTACTCTACCAGCAGGTACCGCATCAACCTATTTCGCTGGCAACGTGATGGCGAGTGCCAATGAACCGGATCCAGTACGAAATTGTAAGGAAATAAGCAATGCGAACAGCAATAAACCAGATTGCTACATCTTACAGAAGACCAGAGATCGTTGCGTCGAATTAGAAAGCAGCAATCGAAGCGAGATGCACAAACAGGCATTTAGTTCAAATAAAAAATTGGGTTTTTGTTTTCCCTAATTTCAAGAAATTGGGAGTCCGAAAATAAAAAGTACATAATATACTATACATATATATCGTCACAAACATGTATATATATATCGTCACAAANAGAACTGCCCGGTAAACCGTAGGCAGAGAGAGAGAAGAGGACAACAAACGAGGGGCTGTGACAAACTGTTTCGTCGGAGTTTCACCAATTCATCAGGAGGCTGAACCCTTATATATACGTCAAATAGAACTGCCCGGTAAACCGTAGGCAGAGAGGGAGAAGAGGACATATATATATTTATTTATTTTGCATAACATATCTTTTTTCGGATTTTTTTGATTTTTTTCTTTTAAGTAGGACTTTTTTTGCGGGTGGGTGTGGGGGGATGGATCCGGACACTATGGACTGGAAACCAGACCTGAACATCCGGACCCAAACCGTCTGCACGAACGTCCGGATCATAACCATGAAAAGAAAGTTAAAAAAACTTTAAAAAAGCCATCCGTACCAGTCTCCGAAATCATGCCGTACCCAGGACTGCAGCAGCCAGTTGTACGATTCCGTGTCAGGCTTCATCTCATCTGCAAAACAAGAGCAACAGCTCACCACACACACACACACACAAAAAAAAAAAAAAACAGCTCAAATGTCAGACACAGCCCATGTGTTGTAGACGAACAAAATGAAAAGGACAAACACAATGTTTTCCTCTCTGATGTGCTGAAGTGTGGAACTTTGTGGGAAATGGGATGCTGGGTTGAAGTCTGGGCTCTTTTCAGAAATTAAAAGAGAGAGAGAGAGAGAGAGAGAGAGAGAGAGAGAGAACTTTTTTTCAGAGAAAGAAAATAAAATTGAAATTGAAAATAGAAACACAGCTACTCAAGTCCATCTCTCATGTGCTCAAGTGTAAAAATTGGTGGGAAATGAGATGTTGGGTTGTAGTCTGCGCTCATTGCAGAAATTACAAAAAAAAAAGAGATCGAACAAAAAAAAAAAAAGGATAAAGCTAACTTTTTCAGAAATAAAAACAAAAATTAAATTTGAAAAATAGAAACACAGCTACTCGTGTGACTCTAAGTCAAAGCCATCAGCTTCCATCTCTCAAGTGCTGGTGTGGAACTTGGCGGGGGGTGGGATCTTGGGCTGAAGTTCGGGCTCATTGCAGAGAGGGGGGGGGGAGCAGGGGGAAGCTGACGTTTTGAGAAATTAAATTAAAATTTAAAATTGGTAAAAAGTACTAAAAACAGAAAAAAAACAGAGCTTCTCGTGCCATTCTAAGTCAAAGCCAAAGTCAACAGTGAGCTTACCTCGGCCGTATTTCATAGAGTCAAATGTTATTGCACACATGTGAGGGACGTTGGCATTGGCCTGCAGAGAAAGACACAAGTGATCAGCCAACCAATAACAATGCAGCTTAGGGGCCTGAATCTGGTCTCTTTCTGAGTCTCAGTGCATGCTTTGGGTTCGGGGTGCGGGGGGGAGGTGGGGTACAAAGTTATAAACGGAGACGAAAGCTAAACCTTTAAAGGGAGGAACCGTGTGACATAATTTGATTTATTTTGATACGCCATCAAACAGAGCCGCTCGGTAAATCGAAGGCAGAGAGGGAGAAGAGGACAACAACCGAAGGGCTGTGACAAACTGTTCTGTCGGAGTTTCGCCGACTCATCAGGACACCCTTTGCCCGGGACCACCACTTGCATATATCTCTTCTCTATACCTTATAAAAACTGCAACGGGCCCACCGTAACGGCGTCGCGGGCCCAGCAGAAACCGAGTGAGGAGCGACGGCGGAAGGGGCGGAGCGCTGGCGAGGACCAAGTACCGCGGCGGGACGACGCGCGGGGGCGTGCGGTCTGCGGCGGACTTATTTTTCGGGACGACGGGCGGGGGCGTGCGGTCTGCAGCGGACGGGTTAGCGGCATTTTTCGTCCAAGGGGAGGCAGGGCTCGACGCGTTGTTTGCGCGGCGCGCGACGGGGCTACATTGCGCGGGGTTGCAGGGCGGTGCTGTTTCCCATGCGGTGCGCGGAGGCTGTGGTGGCATTCGCGTGGATCGCCACGCCGTTTTACTGTGCGCGCAGGGAGGCCACCGCAGCGGGGGGGGGTGGGATGTGTCGATGCCGTCGGAGTTGAGAGAGAGAGAGAGAGAGAGAGAGAGAGAGAGAGAGAGAGAGAGAGAGAGAGAGAGAGAGAGAGAGAGAGAGAGAGAGAGAGAGAGA